GTAGATATGTCAATATCTCTCTCGCTGTGTGTGTGTGTGTGTGCTTCATGTATGCGTACAGAGCTTGCATGAGATCATTGAAGAGAATTAACTCTATGCTCTCCAGTATACCAAATTTATCTGCGTCCACAAAATGTTTGTTTATTTTGTATTTTTTTGCCGTTTGCTTTTCAATTTGAAGTCAATTGAAAAGGAACCAAATGAATATATGCACATACATACATATATGTATATGTTCGGAAGGTATACATATGTAGAGAGATACATAAATAAAAGATTGTTTACAGTGGCTGTGGTTTGTATGCTTACAAAGTTTTTGGCAGTACATAAGGCTCAAACGAAATGAGTTTATGTTGTTATATAAAATATTTTTAGGCATAGGAAAATTACAGTCGTATGCTTAAGTCACTAGAATAGCATTTCAGCATTTTTAATCTAACATACATGTATACCTACATAATTCTTTTCAGCGTATATCTACAAATATTTTCTCTAAATGCATTCAAAGTACTAAAAAGAATGTTGCAGGCGTTTGCATTTTTAGATATTAGATGATCTCATATCATTGCTCAACAGCTTGAGTTGCATATATGTATATACATACATACATATGTACATCTGTAACGTATAGTCTATGGAACTGGGGCTATAAGTAGCTACAGCTATATGATCTGTAGCGTTTCCGTTGCAAGTGCGATAAGTCGAGTGCCGAGTGTGACCCCAAAGTTGTTATATGGAAAAATTTCAGACTATACTAAATGATAAGCGTGGGCTGTGCGACTATATAAAATTCTTTCAAATGCTATCAGTAGTTAGAGAGTACATATAGAGCATCAAGAACTAAATTGTATAAGTTCTAAGCAAGAAGAAGCCTTTTTTTTCAGCTACTTATCGCTACGAAAAAAATAAATATTAAACTAGAGTCAACGTTCTGTGTGGCAGTTTCTAAGTGAACATGTAAACTGAGACAAGCCAACATAAAAATATATGTATGTATATATAAACATGTACATAAATACATATATGTGTGTGTGTGTGCTTGGGGTCTGGTACATAACAAGCTGATAACCCGCCAACTCCAAAGGGGAAACAACAACAGCGATTCAACAGCTCAGCAAGATTTTTCGCTGTGGCTTCAAACTGAACAACAACAAAACATACAAAAAAAGAAAGAATCAGGGTTCTCTACTTCTTCGTTGTCGACGTCGTCGCTGTGGACGTCGAAAATGAAATGAAAACCCATTAAAATTGTTTTCTTTTCAAGCAATCCGCTCAATAATTTTACGAGCCTGTCTGAACGAACGTCTCCCTGTTCGCTGTCTGAGTTAGGAACATTTCGAGATGATCGAACCAGCACACATACATATAAGAAAGTCACACACACTCATGCAAGCTGTTGCATTGACTCGTTTTCTGTGGTTCCCTCCTCCCCCGCTGCACTCTTTTGTGTTGTATTTTTTTGGGCTACACCTTTCTCTGACGGCTGTGCGTTTGTTCTGATTGCTGTTTACCTGTTCGAAATTGATGGTCAAATTGACTTCGTTGAATTTCATGCCACGGGACAAGGGCGGACTCTGCCACCAGGCCTCGGTGCCATCGATTGCATTGGATGGCGGATGATTCTTCTCCGGCACATTGGGATCACAATAGTCGCAGACCTAAAAAACCGAAAACACACATGTTATTATATAAAACTTCAGTCCATAAATAGATTCAAATTTGAATGTTCAACACATGTGGCCAGAAAGTTCTTCGACAAGAAGCAAATACGAAATATTGTATGTATACTCAAAGTTAGAAAGAACAAACAACAAATCTTCAATTCTGATTGATATTTCTGTATAATTTATCCTACCTGTCCTTGAATAACTGAATAATCAATGTGATCATTCTCTGTATTCGCGCCGACCAGTTTGCAGTAGAGTTCGGGTCCATCTGTATCCTCGCCACATGTGGCGGTTGCTTGAATCTTGCGGCCAGTGGCCAGATTGAAATATGGCGGCGTTAGCTCAGCATTGCACAGTGCGATAAGCAGGGTCAGGCAGAAGACCACGCCCATGGCACTGATTGGGGTCGCACGCAGCCCCATTCTGCACTCTCACTCTGTCTCTTTCGCTCACACGCACAGGCGGGCGCAGAGCAATAAGAAATGTCCTTTATCTGGCCACACTTCCGGTTCACAGTTATGTATTTCACTTTCTTATCTTCTGGCACTTTTTATTTACTTTTTCACTTGTTCGATTCCAATTCACTTTTATTTTTAGAGCCCATCCAACCGCACTGGATGGCTCGTCGCGAGCAACTGAAGTTCATGCAGTGAGAAGTTTTCCTCGGTACCCCAAACAAATAATGTCTGCATCGGAAACTGACGGAAGCAGCGATAGTGCTCGGCTCACCCGAAGATCGGCTGTCGGCTGTCGCTTGTCGGTTGTCGGCTGTCGATGATCCCGGTCCATTTATTACTTCATCGCACAGCTGAGAGAGCGGAGATAACGAACTCACTTAACGTCGTTTGTTGTGCTTGCGCTATTCGTTTACATTTCGCTCAGCACTTCCAGTTATTTATTTTCTGCTCTCGCATTAACTCGCGCTCCCGCTCTCTCATGCTAAATGCCGGCCGGCGTTTTGCTGTGCGTGGAATGAGAGTGGAATGTGAGTGAGATGGAGAGTGAGCCACCGCTCCACACACAACAGCTCACTTGTTGAAGCGACTTGTTTACGTTGCTCTTGGAAAGCGAAGAGCCAATTGACAGTTGCTAATGAGACTTACATTCGATATAAAACAGAAAATGTAATTGAATTGTTTGTGCATTTAAATCATTTGTAATAGGTGATTGATAATAAAAGTTTCGTTTAATTAGAGCTTAATTTTAATGTATTAATAAATACATATTGGTTAACTCATAGTTTCGTTTTGTTGAAATACAAAATACATACATATGTACATATACCAATAAAAATAACTGGTCTGAAGGTGAATAACGGCTCACATAGCCAATTCTCAGTCAGGCATAGCCAACAAACTGAATCGAAACTCAACCTACAATCACTAAAAACTTGAAGTTTATTGCTAGAGCTATTAAACAGTCAAAAAAGTAACGGCCTGCGCGAACAGCCTGCATTGAGCCGCTGAAAATCACGATCAAAATACAGCTAAAATTCATGACCAATCTAGTGGCAGCGCAGTCGACGGCGACTGTGGCGACAGCTGTTGGCATTTGCAGCGAAACTTAACGGATCGTATCGAAACTGGTTGCAATTGCATTGCAGTTCTTGCAATGACAAAAAACTCTAAAATAATCGGACTGATAAAGACGGCTATGAGTGTCAAAAGTTTTCATTTGGCCTCAATTTGGCTCGTTACCAGCTGCGTTCGCCACACTGTGCAGGCGGCCGCCCCATGGATGCAAACGAGTTCTGATGACGTAACACGCTACGTTGACGTTATTGTTGCTGTTGTTGTTGTTGCTGTTGCTGCTGTTATTGTCGATGCTGTTTCTTGCAATTCACGCAAATGAACGTTAAAGTGCCTGGGCAAATAGAAAAAAATAACAAACTATAAATTGAATAGATATTTTCTAGAAGCATGCATATGCATGTGTATGTGTGACAGATCTATTGCAACATCAGCTAGAAGTTCTTAGCTCAAGCACATTGGTGCAAAAGCAGCAGAGACTATATAGGCTTTGCTTACATTTGTATGTAGTTAATAGATTTTCAGATCTCCATTTTTTGTCTATTCATGCCCTTATTCACACATGCTAAACAAATCAATTAACACCTCAATTTAATACAATGAATCGTGCAATTTGTTGTTGTTGTTGTTGCATTCGAAACCAGTCCAGCTCAGCCTGGGCCCACTGTGCGCACTGCGCTGACGCTGGCGTCGATGCCGGCGCCAACGCTAGCGTCAACGTTCACCTACGTTTCCATTTATATTTATTCGCAGTTGATTTTCGGTTTTCGTGCTCAATTTCGTTCTAAGCCTCGGCGCGTGTGCATCGACGCAGTTCTCAACATGGTGCTGCTGAAAGTGATCAAATATCTTGTGGGTCAGTGTAACAGTGTCAACAATTGCATACATACATACATACATATAGCTCAGCTAAAATCAAATGTTTTTGTTTTTTGTTGCATAGGCTGCGTGGTTCACGTCTGCAACGAGCTGTCCCAGAATATGAATTCACTTAACAAGATGTTCAAATATCACCTGCTCGAGGCGCATTAGTTAAGTTCAATTGAAATTCGAAATATGTATATAAATACCATATATAAATATAAGCACACCATCACATATATTAGTAGTAACCGTTCAGCGAAAATATATTCGATTACACAAATGTTAATTATTGTTGTTTATCTTTTTCGGCGTGTTAATTAAATCGAAAAGTGAGAACCAAATGCCAAGTGCATATCATGATATAGTAGGTATATACATACATATATATCGTATAAATGTATGTATGTTTAACCTTGTTTCGGCGGCTTGCACAATCAACGGCTTTCGATTTCATTTTTAAATTGTGCAATCTTTGTATTAATATTTATAAGTTTTAAATTATTTATTTAGATTTTTAAATTCTTAAAGTGTCCATGACTTTTCCCAGAAACTGGAATAGATGTATATTTTTGGAAATAAATCATATAGAAGGCTTACACAAAAAATTCCCCAAGCGCAAGTTTCCTATCGAACGCAATGGCCGAAAGCTCACGAATTTGTCAATAAGCAAACAAACCAGCAAAAACTTGATGTATGCCTAGTAAAAATTAACATACATTTAGCTATGTGTATACATATATATCTCGTAGACGGTCGTGACGTCACATCAAACTGTATTTCGAGTCGTGTGGCTAATTTGCATACAATGTCACGTTTGAATGACTTGTAAAAAAACCCAAAAAATTAAATGAGTTTATAATTTACGTTTATATTTAGAACTAATTTCATACCTCGATAGAATATAACTTAAGCTGTACAACCGATTTCTACAATTAATATACGACTCTTAATTATTCATTACTAAAGAAGGTTCGACCAAAGCCCATGGCATTGCTGACAAAACTGAGCATGGACGTGATCATGCCGTGGGCATGCTTGGAGCTCTTCGTCGTCGTCTCCGAGTCTTGTCGCTTGATCTTGTTAGTGCCTTTAATGCTTCTGGATATCTGCTTGATCTCGGCACTGCTGAATATGCGCTCCACATCGGGTATGATCAGTTTGCGGCCAAAATCCTCGGCGCTTATCTCGTTCTGGCGATCGTCCTCACTGCTGAAGTCAAACCACGATCTGCCCTGAACTGTAGGAGGAGAATTTCGCGCAATGAGTTAAAAAGTTAAAGCCAGTGCGAATTCCTGGACTCACCAGTGAACAGCATGACGGAGCCGATAAGAAAGATTGATGACAACTTGGCTGGTGACATTTCCGTTAGCGTTAATCGACTTAATTCAACTGAATACTGCTGCAACTGCCGTGACCTGCTTTATAGATAGTAAGTCTTGCGCCAGCCGGTCGATCTACGTGATCTTCGAGCGTAATGCAAGAGGAACAACCGTATCTGCACGTTCCGAGCGAATAATTTTGAAAAGCTATTTTTCCGTTTTATTTTAGCTGTCAGCTCTTAGCTGTTGCTCACTAGAATAACGGCATTCGAGTATTTTCTTGCAGCTTCTTTTATTATTGAACTCTTATGTTCTACATCCATAACCTATGATGATTCTCTTTTTTTTTGGATTTTCTGTAATGCTTGTCATATGCCCTATAATTCCCATGTATCCTTGAATGCTCAGACATAGTTGGTACTAGACTTATGTCTTTAACTCGTAACTTAAGTGTAACCATATCCTATAATGACTGTAGACCCGTTAGTGTTAAAACCTCGGCTGAAACCTCTTTGTACCGTATGCATCTTATTAACTCCTAGCTCAATTCATGTTCGTCGATCGCATTCGATATATCCTGACGGACCATGGGTTTTCGTGTCTTGTGCTTGTACAGCTCATAGGCATTATCCAGCTCTGCATCAGCGTCTCGCTCGTCCTCCACGCCCGGCCATTGTTCATAGAGCAGCTCTTGCAGCTGTCTGTCTGGCGATCTCGTCAATCCCGTGGGTTGGCAGCCGACCACGCCCACAAATATGCTGAGTGCTGGAAGGGAACATGGATGTGAATGCGGACAAACTAACGAATTGCGGAGAATTAGAAACCAACCGAAGACTACTGTTAGACGCATTATTGAAGAGTGACTGACAGACCGCAGGAGGAGCCCCACAGCTTATATACATGGTCGTACTCGCTTCAACCCATTGACCGGCTCTTCACAAATATTGGCAAATCATGCGAAGATTATGCAAAACAGTTCAGCCGATCAAATAATCAAGAAACAGAAGCTCAAAAACGGGGGCTCGAGGCGTCGTTTAGTCTCACGCAGCTTCGCAGATTGCTGGGCAAATACGTTTGACGTCATTGGTGATAGAGACACACAAAAAAAGAGGTGATGACAAAAAAAAAAAAGCGTTGTCTGCCATTGCCCATTGATCGGCGCTTTGGCCAGACATCATTAATTTTATATATTTCCCATAATACTGAAAGTTATTGTCGTCTCTTTATATATATTGCAGAACTGGTATTAATCTTTGGAGTGCCCGAAGAATATGGTCCAGCGCTCATATGTTGCCGTCTCCTCGCACAAATATGTCTCCATCTGGCAGTAAACGTCACTGAAGTCGGTGTAGTCTGAGCGAAACGAGTTTTGATTGTTTAGATTTCGATTAAGAATCGGATATACCCTTGCGGTGGCTATTATTATGGTGTCAGCAACCGTAGCGCGCGCTTGGGAAGTGAGCTTGATTGATGATTGATGATTGATGGCTATGATTAACTGAGGTGATGCTTGTCTTGTGACTTGGTTAGGCTTGCTACGTACTCGCTCCCTCGCGACAGGCTGCGATATCCATATGGCATTTCGATGCGTATTTTCGTATGCACATTGTTTGCTCATCCAGACGGCAGATGGCGCTGCTGTCGTTTGCCTTGCCACAGGACTGCTCCAAGGGACAAGCGGTGCTAACAGCTAGCACCGCTCTGTGGACTTGAAAAAACATACATATATATTACTGCAAGTGCTTAATCGTGTTAATCTGGCTTACACAACAGCAGCAAGGCAATACTTTTGATAAGCATTCGGGAAATTCTGGATAACCGTTCCATATAAGGCGCAATGCGCAACTAATTGCTCCACAGAATATTTCCCACACAGAAGCTGTGTTTGTCTAAGGCAACACACATTCTTAAAGATAAGATAACAAAAAATGAAGTAGCATCTATGGTAATGAGGAGCAAAGTGTAAATTCTGTTTAGATCTATTTAAAGATTTGTATATGGTTAAGTCCAAAGACCAAGCGTATATATATAAATATCAATAACATAAATATACAAAATTCATCCAAGATCGCACCGCTCTGCCACCCACAAATCAAGTTTGTCTGGTTTAGCTATATATATTTATATATGTATGGGATTATTTCTATTTCTAGCTTGTTTACAAAAATTGTAGCATACTTTTGTGGTCTGCGGTTTGTGTCTCGGCTAAGCTAAACATGTGCCTTTGCTATTGTTGCATAGTTGTGCGCATTATTTGGACTTGGCTTGACTGCGATACAATTTGGCATAAATGCCATTCTTGGCCAGCAGCTGGGCGTGTGTGCCCTGCTCGATGATGCGTCCGGCCTGAATCACACAGATGATATTCGCGTTCTGCACCGTGGACAGGCGATGGGCAATCACGATGCAGGTGCGACCCGAGCAGGCATAGTCCAGAGCCTGTTGCACCACCTGGCCAACGAGTTTGCAGATTGAATACGGTGATTGCATTGCAGGCATGCCATACGCTCCACTTACCCTCTCACTTTGCATATCCAAGGCCGAGGTCGCTTCGTCCAGCAGCAGAATCTTGGGATTTCGTACCATGGCGCGTGCAATGGCAATGCGCTGCTTTTGGCCACCCGACAGCTGGGTGCCCTTGGCGCCCAACATGGTCTCGTATTGGGCGGGCAGTGCCATAATGAAATCGTGGGCATTTGCCATCTTGGCTGCGTCAATTATCTGCTGCATGGGCACTGTGCGTGAGGTGTCGCCATAGCTGATGTTCTCTGCGATGGTTTTCTCGAAGAGCGACGGCTCCTGCGAGACAATGCCCAGGCGACGACGCAGGGTCTTCAGCTCCATGTCCTGGTGTATGCACTCCTGGTCGATGAGCTGAAGCAGGCGTGGAGACTATAATGCTTGCTGGAGAGTTTGATTCGACTTACAATCTTGCCCTCGTCCGGATCGTAGTAGCGCAGCAGCAGCTGAACACACGTGGACTTGCCCGAGCCGGAGGCGCCTACCAGAGCAACCGTTTGACCCTGCAGCACGTCCAGATTGAAGTCCTTCAGCACCTGGTTATCGGGTCGTGATGGATAGGAGAAATTGAGGCCACGATAGCTGACGCCCTGCTCCACCACGTTCGTCTTGCAGATCTTGCCGTTGCCCATCTGCTCCATCATATTTGCCGATTGTATCAGAGGCGAGCGATCTATGATCTCGTACATGCGCGTGGCGGAAAGCAGCGCCGCATTGAAGGCTGGCGTGAAGGCCAAGGACTGAGCCAAGATGAACAGGCCATAGAGCATTGTGTTGGCGATTCTAGTAGTGGGTAGACGCGATTAGATATGAAAGAGATTGCTATGTGGATCCACTCACTTCATGATCACTTCGAATTTGATTCTGCCCTCGGCACACATGAACCCGCCGTAGGTCAAGGTGACGGCGTAGCCGAAGAACATTAGCGTCATGCCCATGGCGTTGACCAATCCTCGCCACTTCAGGCGGCTTTTTATTTGCAGACGATATCGCTCCACCTCCGCATCGTAGGCCTTGATCAGTTCCTCTTCCCTGCGCAGAGCAGCCACAGTTCGAATTTGTGCAATTGTTTCGGTGGCTATGCGACTCGTCTCCTCTAATACATTCTTCTCCTTCAGCGCCGACTTCTCACTGAACCTGGCCTCAAAGATTATGGAGCCCACCATGAACGGAGCTGTGCTCAGGCAGACGAGCGCCAGCTCCCAGGAGTAGCTGAAGGCAATGGAGAAGCTGCAGATGAAGTTGGTGAGCGCCTGTATTATGTTGCTTAACGGAAATCCGATAGCACCCTGCACGCTGGCTGCATCGCCCGACAATCGAGCGGAGAGCGCTCCCACACTGTTCTCCTTCTCATCAAACCAGCCCATTTCCTGCTTCATAATGGCGCCAAATGTCTTGGAGCTGTGGAGTAAGGGAGGCACTTGAGTAGATGAGAGAGGAGGGAGTGGAAATTGTGCAGCTGTTGCCTTACCGCATGCGCGAGGTCAGCCACACGCCGGCTAGATTATAGAAAAAGGTTTGCACGAAGCAGAAGATGCCCACACAGACGCCAATCACCACGGTGATGATGGACATGGATGAGCTGTGCGCCAGCACCGCCTCTTCCGTGGGCTCGGCCAGCGAGGCATACAGCTCTGCCAGCACAATGGAGAAGGCTGGCATGGCACAGCCATAGAGTCCGGCGCATATGGTGCCAATGATCAGGAAACCCCACTCAGGGCGTGCTGTGGCCAGGACTCGCAGGAACGTGCGCGGATAGCTGATGCTCTTTGCATTTGCGGACTTCTCCAGCTCTTCGGCGGCTTGTGTCTTACTTTGATGCAAGCCCTTCATTTGAAACTCCAAGTTTTTGTCTAGGGATTTCACAGAGTTTCTATGGAAGTGTTCCACATCCTTGGACTGTTTGCGTTCCTTGGGCAGCTCCTCAGTCAGCTCCTCATGGAGTAGCTCATCAGCGGTGTCGTCATACTCGTGGGCTGCTACCATTTTGTGGTAGTGTCCCTCCAGCCTCATGAGATCCTCATGGGTGCCCTGCTCCACAGCTTTGCCGTTATCGATGTAGACAATTTGATCAGCATGCCTGATCGCGGACAGGCGATGCGAGACAACGAGCGTGGTGCGTCCCTTGGAGGCCTTGTCCAAGGCGGCTTGCACGAGTTTCTCGGAATGATAGTCCAACGCGGAGGTGGCCTCTGCAAGGAGTGCTAACTGTAGTTCCTGGTGCTCGGAAAGTATTCGAATTGCGGACTTACCATCTAGGAGAAGTATCTTGGGATTCTGTATAAGGGCTCTGGCTATGGCAATGCGTTGGCGCTGTCCGCCGGAGAGCTGAACACCCTTCTCGCTAATGTGCGTGTCATAGCCCTGGCGAAGAGAGAAGCTTAGATAGTGTATATGACTTCCCTGAGAGATCTCACATTATCCAGCGCAATGATAAACTCATGCGCATTGGCGGCTTTGGCGGAATCCTCGACCTCCTTTTGGGTAGCCAGCGGCTTGCCATGGCGAATGTTTTCAGCTGCAGAGGAGACTTTCATTATCGATTCATTGCAGTTTGTTATCTAAATATACCCACCAATGGTGCCCTGAAAGAGCACGGGCTCTTGGCCAACAACAGCTATGTTGGAGCGCAGCCAGTTGAGATTATATTTCCTCACATCCTCGCCGTCCAAGAGCACTTGTCCGAATACCGGGTCGTAGAAACGCTGCAGCAGTTGCACACAGGTGGACTTGCCACAGCCCGAGGAGCCAACCAACGCCACAGTTTGACCTTCTTGGACGGTGATGCTCAGTCCTCTCAGCACAATAATATCCTTTCGTGCGGGATACTGGAAGAACACGTCCCGAAACTCAATGTTGCCCTTCAGGCCGTAGTTGAGTATCTTGCCAGCCTTGGAGAGCGGATCGATTAGGGACACGCGATCAATAACATCATAGATGGCGCTCGCTGATCCCCGGGCCATGGCAAAGGTCTCCAAGAAGGGGGAGGTCCGAGAGAGCTGATTGGCGCCCACAATGATGCCCGAAATCACAATCATGACGATGGCCGGCGTATACTTGCGATCCTCGATGCTCACATCGCTGGCCCGGTCGTGCAGAATCAAATTGGCGCCGTACCAAAAGGCGCCCGCGCCCACAATGAACATCATGGCCTTCATGACCGTATCGCTGAGGCCGGAGAAGGCGCCCTTCCACTTGCCCGCCTTGAGGGCGGGCTTGAGCAGAGTGTCGTAGCGTGTCGACTCGGAGTGCTCGCCTCCAAATGCCACCACAGTGCGAATGGCTCCAATAACCTCCTCCACAACCGAGCTGGCGCGCACATAGGAGCTCTGCTCCCGCGCAGTGAGCTTGCTTTGGTACTGTGTGGGTGATCGTTAGAGACTTTATTTGCTTGACAACATGGCACCACTCACGTGAGCGACCACTGAATTCACCACCATGGTCAGGGGTATGTAGAAGAACATGGCCAGAGCCAGTTTCCAGCCATAGACAAAGGATATGATAACGCTGATGGCCACATCGCAAATGATGGTTACAAAGTGTCCGAGATTCTCAGCTATGCCCGTGCGTATTTTTTCCATGTTACTGAAAGTGATTCAGTCAGTGAATCAGAGTTCTGCGACTGGGATGCGACACCTCTACCTACTCCGTTATGCGCACGGCAAAGTTCTGGTCTTTGGCCATGTCGTGCCAGCCGATCTCCTGCCTGACCGTCGCCTTGAAGAACTCCCGCCTCATGCTTACCGTCAGCTTGAGAGCCAGATGATTGAATATGTTCACAAAGGTCATGCCGGAAAAGAGCATCAAGAGCGAGTCAAGGGTCATCAGAATGCCGAATGCGACGCTATCCTTGCGCAGCTCCTGCATATTCTCCTCATAGCTGGCATTGGTGCTATAATGAACGGGGCTTAGGGCTGTGTATGAATTTAGGTGCGGTGGGTAGACTTACAGCTGCTTGCCGCCACCGAACAAAGGCAGCGCCTTGGTGCCCGAGCTGGTGCCCACGCCCAGGCTGCGATCAATGAACATGGCCACCAGCTCGCTGTAGACAATGATGGCAATGGGAAACACCAGAGCATGCAGGAGCGCGGCGATCAGGCCACAGACGAGCAGCAGATAGTCGATGCCGCGAGCATAGCGAAAGAGCTTGTAATAGTTGACAGTCTCCATCTGGGGCTGTTTCGATTTAATTTGCTTTGCTTCCGCCTGGCCAGCGTCGTCCGCATCGCCATTCTGCATGTTGGGCTCTGCCATTGACGTAGTTAAAGACAGCCAACTTTTCGCCTATAATCATTTACCCTCGGGGTCAATTAATAGTTAGCGTGCAACGAATCTCTGACTGCAGGTGGACACTGGGGGGAGGTGACCCCGCAGCTGGCTAGATCTGTTTACTATACGATCTCTGGTGCTAGGTGCTCTCTTGACATAACGCAGAATTTCTGTGCTTATTTTTCGTTTGTTTCTTGACGCGATTGCTTTCGGGTTCTGTGCGCGCTGTAACGATTCGTCTGAAAGGCGAACTCGAACTGTCGATTGGCTACTGAGAGGTTCGTCTTTTATCAATTTTGTTTCTATTAATGTTCAAATGGCTGAAAGAGCGCAAACAGTTTTGAGTGAAAATGAATTTCTGCGCTCGCAGCTTTTGCAATTTCTCTTATTTTATTTTTAATCAAATTCAATTGAATTGATTTTTCTCAAGGTTCACAATGTGCAGAGGTCGGTCGTAAAGGTGTGCATAGTTTTCGAATGATATTTCATAAAATATGTTAATATTAGGTCAGCAGAGCATTCCTTAGGTCACTTCTAAAGGGTTATCTGGGTGTGAATTCGACAAATGCTCTGTAATGCCTTAGCTTGCTGTCTTATCAATGCTAGCTATTCAAATATTTGCATATAATCCCAATTATCGCGGCATTGACATCTAATTGTCTTTTGTGTAATAGCGGGCATAAAGATTACACTTTATCTATAAGAGAGCCACGATCTTAAATGGTATGGGAAGTGCACTTTTAGATGCGTAGAATTTGCTGACTGATAAACAAATGTTATAATATCGCAAACGTGGCATGAGCCAAGCATTTTTAGTTTTCCAACTGCGAATGCTCGGCGCAGGGCTTTAGTTTAACATTTTTACAGTATTATATATTGATTAATAAGCAACAGTGTGAAACCGTTCTGTATGGTTCATATTGTGGGAAATAATAAATAAATAATTCAGTTACGTGTCGTATACTTGATATAAATGATGGTACTTCCTAGCTCTGAGCCGCTCAACAATCCATTTGATCATTAATCAGCGGAAGTTTGTTGAGCATTTTAATTTTATTTTTCCTTATTTACATGTTTAAAGTTAGGCCATGGAGCTAACACTGCTCTGTATTTAATAAAAAATTCGATAATGTATTGTTACGTATTGTATTTAAGCAAATGCTCGATAACGTAATGTCACACTGTTAAGTTAACATACACTGTTGTTGCATTGGCTAACGTTTATCTGGCGTGCTCGCATGCGCTGCTAGGCTCCTCTGCTGCTTATGGTGAGTTGGCTGCTTTCCTTGAACATTCGTGGTGAGTAGCAGCTCTCTTTACGTAGTTGTCTCTGCGCATTGCTTTTAGCTAGTATTGGTGGTGAGTTGCGGCTCCCGCATCGACGCTGGAAAGCATGCACTTCTGCTATTGGTGAGTTCCTAATTCGTTTAGCGTTGTTTTCTCTGTGGTGAGTAGCAGCTCTCTCTTCATTACGCGGCTCAGTGGCTTGCATTATTTATTGCTCAACTTTCCAGTGACTTCAGTAATTCAGCTTTTATGTGCAGTAACGAATATTTTTTCAACTAAATTCTGGGTGGCACTAATGCGTGAAATTATGTTATGTCACAGAACTGTTAAGCGCTGCCACAGGTGATTTGGCAAAATACTGAACATTACAAGAAAGTTTATTGAATAATAGTTTGTGGACGTACATATAGTATATAAAAATCTCAAAAGTAAAATCTCAATGATCCTTTTGGGTCCTGTGCAGCTTGGCATAGATACCGCGCTGGGCAATCAGCTGCAAATGTGTGCCTTGCTCCACAACTCTGCCGCCCTGCACCACACAAATGACGTCAGCATTTTGAATTGTCGAGAGGCGATGGGCAATCACAATGCAGGTGCGTCCAGAGCAGGCCGAGTCCAAAGCTTGCTGAACCAACTACAGGAGAAGTGGAAAGAGAGGAAGTTAGGAATGTCTCTTATAGAAGTCGACTGTCTGCTTACTCGTTCGCCTTGCAAGTCCAGAGCTGAAGTGGCCTCGTCCAGCAATAGGATCTGTGGGTTCCTTACCAGAGCACGAGCGATGGCCACGCGTTGCTTCTGGCCACCGGACAGCTGCGTGCCTCGTGCTCCCATGCGCGTTTCGTAGCCATTGGGCAACGAGATGATGAAACTGTGTGCATTGGCGCTCTTGGCCGCTGCAATTATCTCCGCCATGGGCACAGTGCGACGGTTGTCCCCGAAGGCAATGTTCTCGGCAATGGTGCGCTCAAAGAGCGACGGCTCCTGTGAGACAATGCCCAGCTTACGGCGTACGCCATCCAGTGTTAGATCGTGCTGAATGTCATCTTGATCAATGTGCTGTGGGCATGGGAAGTATTTAAGGAATTTCTATTTATGTACCCTGGTGTATGGCTTACAATGCTGCCCTCATCTGGATCGTAGTAACGTTGCAGCAGCTGCACGCATGTGGACTTGCCGCACCCCGAATGCCCAACCAGGGCCACCGTTTGACCCTGCAGCACCTCCAAGTCCAGGCCATTCAGAATCTTATCATCCGGTCGCGTGGGATAACGGAATTCGATGCCGCGATATCGCACGCCCTCAAAGAGATTCAGTTGCTTGGCCAGCGTATTCTTGATAGTGCCCATGGGCGAGACAATGCGCGGCTTGCGATCCAGGATCTGGAACAGGCGATGGCCAGCGACCAAGGCGGCGGTAAAGGCAGGTGTAAAGGCCAGCGATTGGGCCAACATCATGGAGCCATAGAGCAGTGTCTCAGATACCCTGTGAGATGGACACATAATATATATAAAACCAGATTTTATAATCATTATATCAACTCACTTGATAATATCCTGGAAGGGCACCTGACCCTCGGAGACCAAAACACCGCCGTAGCAGAGCGCCACGGCGTAGGCAAAGAAGGCCGAAGCCTGCATGGTGGAGTTGAGGACTCCACGCCAGCGCAGCTTCTGTCGAATGAGAATCTCCACACGCTGAATCTCTTCCGAGTATTGCTTAATGACCTCTGCCTCGCGTCGCAGGCCAGCGATCGTTCGCACATTCGTAATGGACTCAGTGGCAATGCGAGAGGCCTCCTCTAAGACTTGTTTCTCTCTGATCAAGGCATTCGACATCATTCTGGAAATTTCAAATTCGATTTCTCATATGTGGAGTATACGTAACGTAGAGCATCTACTGATTCACTCACTTCGCCTCTAGTATGACCGAGCCCACAATAATGGGGCAGTTGGCCAGACACAGCAACGCCAGCTTCCAATTATAGTACATGGAAACCGATACGCCCGAAATGAAGTTCGCTAGAGCTTGAATCATGCCGCTCAGCGGATAGCCAATGGCACCCTGCACGCCGGCTGCCTCGCCAGATAAGCGCGCTGAGAGCGCGCCTACCGAGTTCTGTTCCTCATCGAACCAGCCGATCTCCTGGCTGAGCATCGCCTTAAAGGTCATCGCGCGCACACGTGTGGTCAGCCAGACGCCGGCGTAATTAAAGAGATAGGTCTGCAGAAAGCAGATCAGGCCGGTGATCACAGCGATGCCCAAGCAAGCCCAGGAGAGCACCGCAGTGCGACTGAGCGCCACCTCCTCGTCCCGCTCAGCGAGAGCGGCGTAGAACTCGCCAAAGATGATGGAGAAGGCCGGATAGAGACAGCCCACAGCAATGGCCGAAATGCCGCCGAATATCAGGTAGCACCACTCGGGACGCGCTAGACCTACGATTCTTGCAAAGATCTTAAAGAATTGAGGCTTCTGCGCTGGCACAATCTCCTTCTCCTTGTTGCTGTCCTTGATGAACTTCACAATCGGCTCCTCGAACTGCACGCTGTTCTTCTGATTCTTCTCGAAATTGAGCGGACTTGTCTCAAATGACTTTTCGTACAGCGCTAGACTCTTGCCTGCAAATCAAGTTTGGCCTGAGACAATTGTTGATTTACGGTTACTTTCTCAACTTACGCTTTGCCTCGTCTATATTCTCTTCGTTTTCTTGGTCCTCCGGCATCTTGAAGTCACCTGCCTTGACCATGTTGTAGTAGGCGCCCTCCAAGGCCATCAGATCATCATGTGAGCCCTCCTCCAGCACCTTGCCCTCGTTTATAAAAACGATTTTATCTGCACCCCGAATGGCAGACAGTCTGTGGGATACCACAATTGTGGTGCGTCCTTTGCTGGCCAGGTCCAGCGCCTGTTGCACCAGTTTCTCGGAGTTGTAGTCCAAGGCCGAGGTGGCCTCTGGGAATTAGAGAGGAAATATATACACATGTGCATATGGCTATAGCTCGATTTCTTTACCATCCAGCAATAAGATCTTTGGATTCTGTATCAGGGCTCGAGCAATGGCAATGCGTTGCTTTTGGCCGCCAGACAGTTGGGAGCCACGCTCGCCAATCATAGTGCGATAGCTCTAAGGGGAAAAGTATTGGAGATCAAAGGGTCAAATGATCACACTCTCTTCCCACCACTCACCTCTGGCAGCTGACTAATGAAGTCATGAGCACCGGCTTGGGTGGCCGCTGCTTCGATTTCCTTCTGCGTGGCATTCGGTTTGCCATAGCTAATGTTTTGACCTAACAAGAAATCAGATAAGGAACTGCGTAATATATCTAGGAGTATGACAAGTTACCTATGGTGCCCATGAACAGCACCGGCTCCTGTCCGACCACAGCAATATTCGAGCGCAGCCACTGAATATTATATTTGCGTATGTCCAGCTCATCCAGAAGCACAGCGCCAAAGACGGGATCATAGAAGCGCTGCAATAGCTGTATGCAAGTGGACTTACCACAGCCCGAGGAACCCACTAGAGCCACCGTTTGACCCGCTCTGATCTTGATATTCAAGCCGCGATGCACAATAATCTCTGGGCGCGAAGGATAGCGAAAGAAGACATCCTGGAACTCAATATCGCCGCGCAGGCCATAGTTCAAAAGCTTGCCATCCGTGGACAGGGGATCGATTTTCGAGGGCAGATCAATGACCTTGAACAAGTTAGTGGCACAGCCACGCGCGGTGGCAAATGACTCGAGGAACGGCGCCGTGCGGGCTATATTATCCGCGCCCACAATGATGCCAAAGAAGGCCTGTCAAGGTATTTAGACGTTAATGGAGATATTATTTACCAGGGCCAGGTACCTACAATCATTAGAATGGCTGGCGTGTATTCCTTGTCCTCCACAAAACGATCGTCTATGATGAGATTCACACCATACCAAAACGCGCCCGCACAGGAGAGAAAGAGCATCGACTTCAGAATGGCATCGCTCAGGCCCGAGAAGGCGCCCTTCCATTGGCTGGCCTTGCGGGCGGGCACCAGGAAGTTTTCAAAGCGCTCCACTTCGTGCTTCTCGCCGCCGAAGGAGACCACGGTGCGTATGGCACTAAGGATCTCCTCTGCCAGATTGCCTGCGCCTGCATACGACTCCTGCTCGCGTGCCGTTAGCTTGCCTTGGGTCTGTGCGAAAGCGGAGCTGTAGTGGGTTAGTTGATTGTGATCTTCTGAACTCACCTTGCCCACGTAGTAGTTGACGGCGATGACCAGCGGTATATAGCAGCTCACAGCCAGCGTCAGCTTCCAGCCGTAGCCAAAGGATATGCCCACCGTTATGATGAAGCCCACCACCAAATAGAGAAAGTGGCCCACCTTCTCCGAGATGCCATCGCGTATCTTCTCAATGTCACTGAGGGAAAGTGAGATCGGTGTGAAAGAGAGGAACTCAGAAGATATTCTCGAATACCTACTCGATCATGCTCTGTGCAAAGTTCTGCTTGGTGGCCAGATCGTGCCAGCCAATGTCCTGTCGCATCACCGACTCGAAGAGCTTGATGCGCATGCGCGTCACCTGCCTCAGGGCAACAAAGTTGAAGATGTCCACCGAAAATATGCCCGATATGAACATGATCAACGAGACTATAGTGAGCAGGATGCCATACGATATCGAGTCATCGTACAGAGCCTCATTATTCTCTTCGCGTGTGGCATTCGTTCTGCGGTTTATCAAAACAAATTAAATCAAATCAGATATCATAAATCCCTGCTAATCTCATTGCTGTCAAGTTCGGGTCACTCACAGTTTCTTGCCGCCCCCGAAAATGGGCAGGGCATGCACCGTTGAGCTGGTGCCCACTTGCATGGCACGATCCACCAACATGGCCGTAAACTCACTGTAGACAATGACCACAGCGGGCAGCGTCAGCGCCTTGATGCAGCACATAAAGAAGCCGATGAAGAGCCAAAAGAGTTCGCAATATGTGGAGAAGCGAAACAGTTGCCAGAAGCTGATCGGCTCGGTGGGCTCCAGGCCAGCGGCCACTGGTATTTCCTCCCCAGACTTTGCATCGCTGGTCGAGACGGATGCCTCGTCCCGGTCCCGATCCATGCTGTGGCTGTAACTGATAGTTGAACAATTCAATGGGCTATTAGTATTCAATGGGCCATCGATGCCAGCAGTGAAATTCTTATGCACGCACTACAACAACAACAACAACCACAAACACTTAGCAAGACGAACAGACGCCAAAAAGGTTAATTCAATTAGACGGCAATTCAAGAATCATTCCAACTGGCATTGCCAGTTTGTCGCCTGCTCTGCTATTGACCTCCGAGGTTAACTGGCGAGGTGCCATATATTAGTTATGCTCGACAAATATTTTCACAGATTCGCATTGGATTCACATCACAGATATAGGAAAATGACCCATTGAGCAGCGCATTGCCGCCGATCTTCACTGCTGCACATGTCCTCTCTGGCTTATTCACCTCTAGCACTTTATCCTTTCGATGGTATTTATTCCTATTTTGGAGTCCACTCTTGTTTTGCCCTCTTATCGATCGTGACACTCGATCGCTGTAGCGCGACTGACTGCAGATCGCTTGAGCACTGTCCATTTAAGTTTCAGCGGGTTCTGCTAGGTTTCCCGATCTTAATTGATCGTACTCGAAAGAGCATCAATTGAACCTGCAAAGAGACGCTTCTGTCTTGGTGATCTTTAGTCTGTTCAGCTCTTATACTCATGCTCTTATACTCTTATACAAGCTACTGTCGGCTTCTTTTTTAGCTACCCCAACTATTTTTACCTTTACTAAGAACACCGAGGCATATGTTGCTCATCTAATATTGGTTTTAATTATTTATTCCATTTCTCTCAAAACTATCTCAAATGACCTAAATTGATTGAGATATTCGTGACGAATGACCATGACCTTAAGTAAAATAGACAGTTTTATTGAATCTAGGTGTTTATTTATACTTCAACTTATTTACAGTTTATAGTTTATATAGAGTTGGTCTATACACACACACATGCATATACATATGCATAATTATGCTAAAGTTTATGCTTAAGACTCTTAAGCCTACAAATCGCATATCACATATTGTGTTGGTTTATATATACACTGCCTACACGATAGGGATTCTCAATCAAACAAATTAGTGGTAAGTAATCTTTAGATCTAGCCTAATATGGCAAGCGCCAAAGAAACAAAAGTTTAAAAATTATAATTATGATTAGGTAACATTCATATACATATATATATATCGCTTGAGTGTACGTAGATCGTATGGGACTGCATATTTATAGGAAGTGTTTTTTCTCTTCTCGGTACTTATGTCTAAGGACTGATATGTCGTACTCTGTGTAAACACGATCTATACATGAACTCACTAAAGACTATGCAACAATTCTCTTTTGGGTTTGCACAGCTGCAGCTAAATAATAATATCGTAGAATGGTTCCGGGTGGCCTGAAGCCAAAATTTGTTTAAGCCTAGCTTAAGACTACTTTCAACTCTGTTCAAAAATTATATGGGCTTATAGCGAGATGTCGCCAAGAAAGCTATCTAACTATAACAACGATGTGATTCCTTGGTCAGACATAGACCTCGCCCGTCTTCGGCTCTGGCTTGTGCTTGGCCAGCGTTGAGGGCGCCGACGAGGCATTGGCTGTGCCGCCCGTGTTGCTGGAGCCGTCCTTGTTCCGGTGCAGAGAAACCGTCGCTGTCGCATCCACCGAGTCCGTTGGCCCCGCCGAGCGCACCGAGGAGCGCTGATAGCTCGGATCCTGCAGATTGAGGCTGACGTTGAAGCTATTGTTGCGCGATATGTTGGCGGTCCCGTTGAGGGGCTTCACCGAGAGCAAGGCGGTAGTGGTGATGCCGCCGCCGCTGCCATTACTCGATCCGCTGCTGGCGTGCGTATCGCCGCCATCGCCCGCCGCGCCCAGCTCCACAATGGACAGGCTGGAGGGCGTGCGCTGTATGGACAGGGAAACGGGAATCGTGGTGATCACATCGTTCGGATCAAAGCCACTGGCTGAGGTCGTTATCGTCGGCAGCTGCGCATTGGCAGCCAGTGGCAGAATGCTCAACGTGCCCGTGGGCATCGACTCGCTGCTGGTGGAGACCGTGAACGGAAACGAGAGTGTGGTGATGTTTGTCTCCGCTGGAATGGCTGCGAGGGAGGAGAAGTTCAATTAAGAGTCGAATTGACTGAGTGTGTGACTCGACTTACCGCTGGCCGTGTAGCCATCCTTCAAGCGAGTCGGCATGACGGCCTGGGCTAGCGCCGCTGTGGCTGGATGCCCTGGAATCAGAGTATTATTGGATGATGAGCTATCCATCTCTTTGATGGGCGACAGCAGCAGTGTGCCCAGCACCTGGCCGCTGTCCTGGTGCAAATTGGTGCCGCTGGCTGAGGTGCTATACGAGGGATACATGCCGCTAGTGCTTTGGGTGCTCAGCTGTTGTGGGGCCATGATAACGGCGCTTGTGGCTACAGTGGGTGGGTGCAATTTGTTTATAACTAAGCCCGGTGCATACGTCATCGAACCGCATCCGCTTACCTGTGTTGGTGCTGCCATCCTTCGTCACCTCCGGCGTGGGTATGCGCGGCCGCGTCTTGGCCACGTTTATATTGAGGCCATTCAACTTGGAATCTGTTGAATGGAAACACCATGAGCTAGCTGCTCCCCTTGCCTACATTTCTGAACTCACTTTGTTTGATCAGCTGTCGCTGGGCGCGCAGCGATTTGCGGTGCACGAACTTCTCGTAGAGAGTCGGCTTGCTCTGCTGCTGCTGCTGCTGCTGCTGCTGCAGGCCGCCGGGCTGTTGCTGTTGCTGCTGGAGCTGCTGCTGCTGCAGCTGCTGTTGCTGCAGTACGGTCAATGGCAGGCCCGATTCGGGACTAGAGTAGACCGAGTTCAGGCGGTTGCGCGTGAAGGGCATGCCGCCCGAGGAGTAGGCCGTCGACTGGCTGCGCATGGAGCCCATGCGGGATAGCTGACGCACCAGCCAATTGTTCTTCCGCCGCTCCACCATGGGCGTGTCCACGCTCTCCTAAAAATGCAAATATATACATATATATATAGAGATTATCTTTGGTTTTCTCTCAGTGTATGCACTCACATAGTCCGCATAGACATCGTCGCTGAGCATGCGCTTGCCACCGCCCGGAATGATGTTCGCGTACATGGCATCCTCCTTCTTCACCTTGTACTTCTCGGCAGAGCCCTTGGGCTCGTCCCGTCTGTAGTGCTCGGAGGCGACGGTGTAGGGCAGCTCCTTGGGCACCACGCACTCCCAGTACTGATCGCGCAACAGCTCCGGATGCTCCTCGTGCATCTCGTCGACAATCATGTAGGCGGCCTGTAGAAATCGACAATAGAAATTAGCGCGTGCCAGAAATGATGATAAAAGTGGAGCGGTCAGCGGCATCAGGTGGAACGTGTTTGCCATTTTGGATGAGCGGCACTTGGCTGCCCGCCCCTACATAGCCACAAAGCCACAACGCATGCACTTCAAGCCCCAACACCTAATTACATCACAGAGACAATCCACGCCCCCACTGCCTCCCCAGCACTTCGATGAAGCGAAAAGTGGAGAAAAAGTGAAATTGTTGCCGAGTCCACTAATTGTTTCATAAGGCAATGAAAGACTTCAAGCTGCCCACAAAACTTATTAAATATATATATTAATTGTATATATGTATGTGTGTGTGTATATCTCTCCTGCTCTTGCTCTATTTCGCACATGTCTCGCTCGTTGGCAATTGTCACGTTTTGCTGTGTGCGACACGAAAGCCAATTAAAAATCTGTCGCTTTAATAATTAACTATTCATTAACCCATTTATGCATATCCGGACCAATTCTGGGCCAAAACAGTTTCAATGTAACACCCAAAAATCTGCTCTTAACAAAAATCATCAAACAGAAAAAAAAAACACACACAAAATACTCAATGATAAAAAGCTCTACAAAAGAGGTTTCAATGTTTATTTTGTTTAGTTATTTTTTTTTTTTCAACAGAAAACCTGTTTTCAATTTACTTTTGCCAATGTTGTTGTTGTTGTTGTTGGTGGTGGTGCTGCCGTTGGCTTTGTAAATAATTGCAAGCAGCCAGCAACAGCCAGACCCCAAACTCAGAGATATAGCCGCATATATATGTACATATCGCTCGTGCATGCACACATGCATATGAATGCACACACACACATGACTACACACATGCAAAAAAGAGAAAAACAAAAACTCCTCGCAGCAGTTCAGAGCCCAATGCGAAAAGTTGCAAAAAAAAAAAAAAAAAAAAACATACACACACACATACATAAAATACACCTTCAAGTCACAAAATGCCAAAAGGTGCGCCAAAGTCGACCAACTTGAATACCCTATGTGACTAGCTGACATGGGCTGCTGCCAGCTGGCCAATTGAGCAGCTGATATACCCTACGATAAGATTTGCCTTTCCTATTCGCCCAAAAACTTGAGTTGGACTTGGCATTTGCATACCCTGTTTTTAGCTGAACCTCATCATAAGCTTAAAATGTATTTTAAGAGCAATCTTATATAATTTTGCATATGAGATAAAATTCTATGCACAATGCTCGCTTACTGTTTTAAAGGTAAACAACAGTAAAATAGAAAACAGGCAAATCCTAAAATGTTTAATATTTAGCCGAGGATCTAGTATATTATATTCCGATTTATACAATGAAACTATATATCAGTATACATATATATGTATCTATATCCAAGTTTTCTGTTTTGGTTTCCTCTCTGCTTCCCTCTGTAGCGCACTCTCTGAAGTCTTCATGGCCGCATTCAAACTTTATTTAGGTTTTTGCTGTCATTCCAGAGCTAAGCGCCTTTTATATTTAGCGCGTGGCAAAAGTGTTTTCTTCCTTTCAGAAAAAACCTGTTGACTGAGCCCAAATAAATAAACCCTCTGCATAATTACACACATCTCACACAGTAACCCAATTTACGAGGGCATAAACCAAATCTTGTCTCTAAAGCTGGCAATAAATTAAAAAAAAGAAAAGGAAACTTCAAGTTGAACTCAAGTTAACTATAGTTCTCTATTCTGTTATTTATTTTGTTAGGTGCTAACTAATTGTAGACTCAATATTTTATAGGGGCTATTTGGGAGATGCTGTATTTGCTAATCTCGCTAAGCTCATGGGCCTGAGTCATTTGAGCTAAAAACTTTTTATCTACAATTTCTGCGCGTTGACAAATTCGTGCAAAATACAAATTGACTTGTGTTGGCACGAATTCAATTCCGGTTTTTTTTTTTAGCTTTGGGTATTTTTAAACAAAGATATGGGGATCTACGTGGTAGAAATTTTGTCACTTGTGGAATTGCATTCTTTTTGAATTAATTTAATATTTTACTTGTTCGATTTATGGATCTTACCTTGATGTGTCTATCGATCAGCCAATTCAATTCAATATCATCGTCATCTTCGCCAAAGGGATTGATCAGAACCTCGGCCACTTTCAGCCAGCCCACGTAGAAAACGAACTGCGAATTGTGAGTGTGATAAGATCATAAGAAAACAATGCTAAATAATTAACATAAAATTAACTTTAATTTAAGCAAAGTTCATGTGCGAAGTTGATGGGTGATAAATTCATATGAAAGGTACAGCGAGAGCTTTTCCATTCACTTTTTGTACCGTGTACTCATGTGATGAGCAAATGGGGTATACTAGTTTTGTAATAATGAGTACAATGGCTGGGAAGTCTAGTTTTGATGGTATTTGATTCTAATAACATTTAATATTTTATTATGATCGATAAATATCGATATTACTTGATACTTTTAGTCATAATTATTTGATAATGTGTCTCTATAGACGTCTACATTTAATTTTAATTTTTTGTCTCATTTCCATTCTCATTTATTATCTGCAGGGTATTGGCTAGTCGGGCATTCTCGATTGGGGCACTCTGCCTTGGTTCCTATTGCCATTATATATGGTTTTCGCATTTCACATTTCGCATTTTGTACTTTGTAGTTTGCTAAATTAACAGTTATTAATGGCAGCGCCTAAAACATGGTTCAAATAAGTAAAAACAAAAAAAACTAAAACAGTTGTCGCCGATTTTTATCTAAGTACGCGAAATGCCTTTCGCACAAACACAGCGAAAATGGCAATTTATTATTTCGAACGTGACTGCGACTCGTTTACATAACGCAAAACACTTGAAATCTGCCTGCGAATGCGAAAGGGAGCCTCGTCGAACCGCAGAAACCGACATCAAAATTTATATATATTATGGAAAGGGGAAACGGCACAACCAGATCGGTATAGCTATATGTATATGTTTATGTGATATGTGCACATATCGCCACACGATATAGATGTCTTTGATCATAGTCATATCGCTGACAAGGTATTGCCAACCAAATTACGTTCGAGTTTCGATTGCAGCTGCGTTAATGATCCACAAAAACCGCAAAGCTTTTTGCTACACAATGGCGAGACGTGGAAATGTCTATGATTTATCGTAAATATAGCGGAACGTGCAAATTGAATAAATACATTTTTGTATTCCGGGTTTTGCCGCGGCTGCCTCTTCTTCTCATTCTCATTTAACCCATAAACTTCTGTCTTACCTGCAGAACTGTGAATATCGGAAAGTACAAGTCGCTATCTTCGCGTCCATTGCGATCCGAGATATTTGGCAACATCTGGCGGCCGAGCACAAGGGCAATGAAATAGGTATAAAGCACCAGAGTAACCACCTATAAAAGCAGAAAATTAATTAACTTGATAGTTCAGAGATAAATTGGATGAGATTGCAGTCACACAATTTATGGGTTCTTTCCCATTCGACTTTGGTTTTGGTTCACTTCAAGTGTGAGCATCCGTTCCGAAAATTCTTATCTCAACTTGAAACAGTTGTTGGAATTCGTTTATATCATCGTGGGGGTATAGCTCAGGGGTAGAGCATTCGACTGCAGATCGAGAGGTCCCCGGTTCAAATCCGGGTGCCCCCTGGAAAGTTCTCTTTTTTTTTCGTTCTCTCTCTCTCTATCGATTCTCACCTGTGTGTAGACCAGCGGCACGCATACCGTATCATAGCCAATCAGGCCACCCAGACGTCTTCTGATGTCCGAGAGCTCGACGAGTATCGTCTGCACTATGTGATCGGAGGCAATCAGCCCGTCCTTGCGCGCCCGATTGATGATGTTGGTGGCCCAGACGAGGGGCATCCAGTACTTGGACATGGGACTCTTCTGATTCATGGCCTCAAAGATTTTCATCTCCGACTCGTGCATGAGGCCCGCGTCCACCAGATGCTGTGTGGTCGGAAAGCGACGCTTGACGCGCAGCGAAATGCGCTGGAGCGTTATAACGTAGGCCAAGACCATATAGCGCATGATATTACGGCGCATGAGGCGGCCCGTCTCATTCTGAGTGAAAAATAACAATGAGAGTTGATTTGGCGTCTTATCGCGCAATTAAGGCGTGACAGACTCACATTAACGCCCGTCGAGTTGGGAATGGCGGCGCTGATGAACAGGGCCAGCGTATCCGGCCAGGGCAGCAGGCGGTACTGCTCCCACCAGCGCTTGACCACCAGATTCACATAGAAGCCCAGCACAAAGGACATGGGCACGGCCTCGCCCTGCTGGGCAAAGTAAATCCGAATGCGATTGAATGTCCTAGCGATCGATGTGAAATATATTTATTATATAAATATAATGTTCTATAATGTTTACACTCGAACTCACACTTGTTGATTCGGCGTCAGGGCGAAGCGATAGATGAGGTTAATGGTGTAATATAAACACAAATAGGCGATTAATTCGCGCCATACTAATTTGTAAACGCTGCCGCGCCATCTGAGCGTGTTTCATGGAAATAAATGGAAATTGAAATAGCAATAAATATTATTAAACTTGGCCAAATTTATGCACAGAGATGAGCAAGAAACTTCAGTCTTGTAACTAGCCAGTTTTCAACTGAATTCTACTTCCTTATAGCTGTGGCTACTCCAACTAATCGCCGGCTCGAATTTCAAATTCATTTTTAGATTTGTTTCGTGTTTAATGCTTCGCTAGTTTTGCAGCTTTCATTGTTGTTTTCATAATCTTCGAGTTCTACTGAATTTGTTTTGATATATTTTATCTCATTCTATGTCATAATGATCTGTATAGCCTCGTTGAGAATGGAACAGGAATTGCGACTCGCAGCTGAACTTTTTGGGGTCTTTAGCGCTGTTGTTGCCTGGCCGCATGAAGGTCGTTATGTCAATATAATATATGGGTTGCTGTCTCATTTCTGTTGTATAATATATTATTAAATTCTAATCAAAGTCTGCGGGCAATCAGAGCTCACGAAACACACGTGAAGCTAATTAAAGTCTACTCAGAATTGTTTGGTTCTGGAGGAAATCATTAACTGTTGGCATCTTAATAAACAATTTTTTAATGTAATTTTTAATTCAGAAATTACTTGAGTGAAATCGACTTTAAAAGTTTATTATTTCGCAGAAACTTAAAAAAAAAAAAAGAAATTTGTTTTATTTTTAGCAAGAGATTACTGGATTGTCGATATACTTTTTATAAGTTTCACATTTTACATTTTAGTTGATTAACTGAAAAGGAATGCAGACAGCTAAACAAAATATAGCTGTCTCATAAATTAAGGTAAGACTTTTCGCGCTACGTTTTTTCTTTTCTATATTTTGCATACAAAAACCAAATAATTATTCCCTATTATTCCCTATTTTTATTGTTAATTACGGTAGACTTCCATTACCAATTGATTTACTATTGTTTGGTACAGGCAAAAACAAGGGATCGGCTAGCAGATACTCTATTAGCTCTTTCAGTCTATCTGCTTTGGTTTAGCGCTTGCTGATTGGTGCAAACGCTCTCAAGAACATTCCAACTGCATTCCAGTGGGACATAACTGTCACTTTCAATTCCAAACGAGACTGCCTCTCTCTCTCGCTCTCTTCCTCTCTTCCGGCTAGAGATGGCACAAGCGAGTACCGAGCAGCCACGGCGAATCTGGTTACGAGTGACTGCACTTTGGAAACAATTAATGTGAGTTGAGCTCAGAAAAACAAAAAAATAATACAAATAAAAGCCAACAACAGCTGACAGTGGGCACTATGACTAGCTACTCTATCGACATACATACATACATACGAATGTATGTATGTATAGGTGCCTGTGCGATGTTAATTACGCTGGTAAACACTATGCGACTGGGCGGGCGATGACTAACGCGAAAATTACACGCATACTACTTTCCAGAGACTGGGCGACTGGCCCAGTTCGAGTTGCCCAGATCTAGCTCAATGGCGAGGCATTGTACTCACTTCCATAGGATCTTCCAGAAGCAGCCAAAGTTGCTGCCATTGGGCACTTCGCCTGCATATGACACGGTCATACTGCAGCCGCTGCTGTTGTTGTTGCTGTTGTTGTTGTGTGGTTGACTTTAGATCGGGTTCAAGTCGGAGTCGGCTTAGTTAGGCGAACTTTATTCGGCTACGCGTCATTGACAGCGGCATCGAATTCGCCGTCGCCGCATTGACGGCTGCGTCTGGCGTCTGTAGTATTTGTTGTTGCTGTTGCCGTTGCTGCTGCTGCTGCTGCTGCTGCCGCCGTCGTTGCTGTTGTTGTTGTTATTGTTGTTGTGGTTGTTGCTATACTAAAGCAGGTGAATTCGTTAACTGCGTCTTCTTCAGCTGAAAAACAATAAGTGAGAGCGACAAGCGCGACACACACGTTCAAATAACTGTAAAATTATTCACCAACACAAGTGCAACTCATGCAAATACACTGCAAACAAAATAATTACAATAAATAAATAAAAAAAAAAAAATCAACAGCAACAACAACAATTTACTTTACTTAAATTCCAGCACGTTTCGAACAATTGGACGGTTATTTTGCTGTTGCTTTGTCTTTTATTGTATTTTCTTTTGTTATTTTTTGAAATTTTATTACATTTTATTTGCTTTTTTTTACATGCATTAAAATGCACATTTTGCGCTTTAGTTATGGGCGAAATTTGTTAAGTTTTAATTTTTTTTTTTTAACTTTACAAGATTTGAATTTATCTAAAGAAATAAATTGTTTTTTTTTTGTTTTTTTTTTTCTTTTCTCTGCTTTATTGCGCCTTGGGCTCTTGTTGGCCTTTGTTTTGTTATCCGCACTTAATGAACCACTTAAGGACAGGATTTCCCCTCAAATACACATGTACTCTCACAGTCAATCACATACACTCACACACACTCTCACTTGTAAAGTAAGCATTTCTGTTAACTCATTAATGGAGAGTTTTTTGTTTTGGGTATTTTCTGTTGAAAACCTTGAGATTGTCGAACAGTATATATGGATATATATATTTATATTAATATATCTACGTCTGCGATTTCGAATTTTTGCTTTTGAGCAGTTGTTGCTTCTGCTTTTGAGCTTTTGTTCCTCCCCCCATTTTGATTAATTGAACTGCCTGAGGCTGGCTTAAGCTGATCGGAGTTGTATTAGTTGTGCTGTTTATGAATATTTGTGATATTCACTTGAATTCGCGCATTTGAATTCGTAACGTAAACCTGTTGCCCTGCAGTTATATTTATATAGCTTTGTCTCGCCTAGTCAGGTATCTTTTGAGCACCTTAAAAGCTGCAAATATTTGCATAACATATTTATCTGACCGTCAATATTCATTGCTGAAAACAGGTTCCATGCCCGCATGCCGCTGGGATAGAGAGGAAGCTGAATTTTCACTAAGTCGCGTTAATTTCGTTGATAAACAGAGACCGTTGACAGTGACAGTGTATCTACTCGATGCCTGTATCTGAATAACTCCATGAATATATCTATATGTGCACATATGTATATATAGGCAGCTTGAATAGTTATAGCTACTAACAGGTAACAGCCAACCGGTTACCTGTGCTGGCATTCCGCTGGGGGTATGCATATGCATAGCATCTTGAGTTTAGTTAGTCATGCCGTCTTGTTAATTACGCCTTTGCTCAGTAGTTAAATCGTTAGCAGCATGTCCAACACCACCCAAAACCTCTTGACATACTTCTCATTGCGAATTCATATTATACTCTAAGGTCTATAGAGCTCGATGGGTTTTGGTGGGTTTGCAGATCTTTAACTCCTTATAATACTGCTTCTATTCAATACTTTTCAAGATTTTTTGCCAAGATTCTACAGACTACAGGGGTTCTAGAGATCATCTACATATCTTTCATAGTTCTAGGGAATATTTTGTAATATAATAACTTTTATTTCCACCTGACTATAAGTTTATTTTATGAGTTTTCAGCTGTTTTTAGGCCAGCTACGTGCTCACTACCAAATTAGCTATGCATATTAGCTGCCATAAGGCATCAACTTATCTATTGTAATTGTTTTCAACGTTCTCTCTCTGTCTCTATTTCTGCTGCTGCGCTATTCTCTTTGAAAACCCAGCATTGACCCCTTAGACAAAAAACAATAAACATTAAAACTCTGCAGTTAAAGATAAGCCTCTAAACTGTCTCAAAAATGTCTGACGACAGCTGGAGGACAGCTAAACATTGCGATAGATCAACAACTACTTTTCTGACTTGACAGTCGCTCAAGAGCTGTGAGATAAGAAACTGTCGTGGGCCACAAATTGCAATTGCGTATACGCCCGGCTGTACCCCCATCTTCTCCTCCTGCTGCCGCATGCCCGCAAAGAAATGTTGGCCATGGCCTCAAAGCAAACATTCGAGAGACGTTGATCGATGACGAATTTTATTCAAATATATGCCACAGCCAAGCGGCGCGCTTTTCACTTTCTTTGACGCGAATCGAGTTGCTTATAAAAGAAACAAATATGAGACGCTCGCAATTCGTTTACACAATGACTAAATTTGAGTTGAATAAGCTTTTACATATATAGAGATACTATAAAGTTATATTTTTCCCACTCGAAATATGCGCACTTGCACTTTTTTTTTGTGTTTTTTTGTTTAGCCGAGCACGGGCTCGACTTTGAACAGTGGGAGTTTTTTTTCCACTTATTTATTGTAGTTTGATTAGCACACAATAAAAGTTGATAGAAACTTTTCTGCGTTCGGCTTGTTATTTATTCGTTAGATTCCATAAATGTATTTGCTTTAATTAATTCCAAATTAACGTGCTCATTAAACTATTCAAATTTCAAGCTGCAAATGTGGCGATTAAATCTGAGGCTTTTTTTTGTTAGTTCACATATATTAAAAGGCATTTTAAGTGTTGAAATTGATATTTGCATTTTAATCTAATAATTGCTTTTTAGTCACATCTAATTAATTTGTGTATGATAGTGCAATAAATAGATTTGAATTTTAATGAATTGAAATTACTTTTTTATGTGTTCAAGTACTTGAATTATTACGTGGATTACATTAAATATATATTTATGTATTTACCTGTTAGTTACGTTAATAAATCTTTGCTAGATGTTATTTAGTAATTTGTTTAAACATTAATTGATAAATATATTTTTAAAATGTTTTGTAATACATCTATTTTTAATTTTCCTGAATTTAAAAAAATGTTTATTCATTTATATATTTATTGAAATAATATATTTAGTTTTTAAAAATTTGTTATGTATTTCTTAATGTTCCTGTATTTTACAAATTGTTTGTTTATTTATATATTTGCTGGCGCTAATTTTTTATTCATATATAATTTATTTTTATTGTCATTATCTTGCTCAAACATTGATTTATGTGTATATATTTTTAAAGCGGTTTATTTTTAATGCTTAATCGAATTTGTATTTTTTTTTTTTTTGTTTGCAATTATTTACAAAAGTCATTTTTATTTACTTGTAGATTTTTGTTTAAATTTGTATAAATTAATATTTATTTTGTTATTGAATAAATTGATCTTATATCTGTATTTTTACTGATTTTTATATATATTTTCAAATAAATTTATTGCATTTGGTTTACGGCTGTTGAGTTTTTAATATCTTTTTTATTGTATTTCGGTTGCATTACCGCATGTAATTGCTTAATTGAAATTGGCTTTCAATTTCTGTTTTATTGCTTTAGTTAAGACTCGGTCGGGTCTGATGTCAGTTTTCCAGCTCATTTTCACATTTTCAATTGAAAAATTGCTGCCAAAATTGGCAACGGGCAGCGAGTGTTCTGTAAATGCCGACACCTTAAAGAGCTGGCCAAGCAGAGTCTTATGCTTGGCTTGAGTGGCATAACGTGCTGCAGACACGCGCTCACGATTACGGCAACAGATACAGATACAGACACAGACACACAGCTATGGCTACGTCTACAGATACAGATACAGATACAGATAGAGAGACTCGTAGCTAATAGATACACGCATCGGCTACGTGTATCTCTAGCTCTGTGGCGATTGGGCTTAACCAGCTGTCGCTGTGAGTTATGCTGACCAGGCAGATCTTGCGCGATCTCACATACATACACATATAGGTATTTAGATATATATTTCTATATACATATATTATATACTGCACTTGCGCATTCTTCTCGTTGATTTTCACATACAGAACGCGTGTTCAATATTTATTTTAATATATGCGTGCGTGTCCATCACACTCAACTGCTTAGACATTTATTTAGTTGTTTATACAAAAACAACAACAAACAGTCTGTGTTTTTGGTTAATTTTGTTTTTTTGTTCCGCACGATCAACGAGGCGAGAGGCTTCAGCCACAGCTTCAGCTACAGCTACAGCTTCAGTTTTAGCTTTGGCTTTGTAACATACCGACGACGGGTTTATCGCTTGGCAGCTCGTTCCGATGCCCGAGTTCGACTTCGAGTTTGAGTTCGATTTCGATTTCGATTTCGATTCCGAGCGGCAACGGTCGCAACCTCACGGCACGCTAAACTCAACTAAACTGCGCTCCAGACCCGAGCACAGGCGTCTCTTAACTCACATTTTTAACAGCGCTGAGGCTAAGTTACGTTTTTTTGTTTCTTTTTTGTTCGCAACAGGTAGACAAAACTTGCGCTCCCGCTACTTCCGAAGAGTGTGTGTACGTGTGTGTGTGTGCGAGCAGTGCAGCGCAGCTGAGCATGCATTGGCGCTCTCTATGTGAGTTCGTCTCAGTTTTATTTTCTGTGTGTGTGTGTGTGTGTGTGTGCTTTGTATGCAGCTTATGCATCAGCTGTTTTTACTTCGTAAGCCAGCAATGGACTGACCAAGCAGTTAATGAGTTTGTGTGTGAGAGAGCGAGAGAGCGAGTGAGAGGGCGAGAACGAATGTGTGTGTGTGGGAGCGAAAGAGTGTGAGAGCGTAACACTCAATGAGTTTTGCGGAGTTAAGCTTAAAGTCAGGGCTGCAAGCAAACGCAAAAATGAACTGGAAATCGTATAAATGAAGCTTACGAGTGATACGATATGATCAAACTGCAATAATTTAGATTTATAAATAATTGAAATAATATAAAATATACTCAATTGATAAATAATTTAAAGTTAATGCGACGTGAATAATAAAAATAATATTTATCTTAAAAGATTATATATGATGTTAATATTTTTACAATTTTAAGTGATATGTCGTTATCTTAGTCTAGTTTAAATTTAATATTTTAAATAAAAGCCTGTTTAATCTCATGGCCATATCAATGTTTATACAAAATTTGGCAGACTGCGCAGAAAAAAATCATTGCATACTTTTAGGTAATTATTTTTAAATTAATTTACTATAAAACCGATTCAAGGTTAATAAATATTGGCCTTTACTATATATATATTTAAATATATGAAAAAAGACAACAATTTTACGACACTAGCTTAAGTTCTTCAAATATCTTCATCTTCACAAATATGAAAAAGGGATAAATGATTTACGTCTATAGAATAAATTAACATATATTTAGCTTAACATAAGGTAAACAATATTAAAACAAGTTATCTCTTAGTGTAATGTCAAGCGCTAAGTGAATTGGACTTCTCCGTTTGCTTCGCCCGATACCTCAAGCCATGCTCCATGTAGGTGAACGGAGGATTCGGCTGTGTCATGCAGAAGTACAGGCCCTTCGCATTGGCCGGGTAGATGAGGCCGATGTTGATCGTGTTCTCGAAGCTGCAGTCGCCCTGCCGGAACTTGGCCCAGCTCTCGCACTTGGTGGCTGGTATCATGACGCCCTCGATGAGCGCCTCCATGAACAGCACGAATGGGTACATGTGGCTGCAGATCTTGCTGTCGCAGCCCGGCTGCAGTTTCTTGCGCGGAAAGTAGCCAATGCCATTGGGATAGATGTCCACATGGCCCAGCGCCACACGCACGCCAAACACGTCGCCCTCGCCGTGCAGCACCACCACGCGCGCCGCCACATTGTACCGGACGAGTATGTCGGTGGTGCGGCACATGGTGGCTGGATCGATGGCGATCAGCTGACCCACCTGCCGCTTGCTGCTCTTGGCAAACAAATCAGCGCCCAGCGCGGCAATATTTGCGCCCACCGAATGCCCTGCCAGCGTAATGTCCTCCGGCGCAATGCCCGCCTCCGTCAGCGAGCTGAGCAGCTTGTAGATGGAGTAGCCGTGCACGGAGAGATGGTGCCGCACTGTGTAGTACAGCTGGGCCACGTTCGTGGCAAAGTCCACGATGATGATGTTGAGGTCGCGTCGCGTCGTCTGCAACAGCATCAGGTGCTCCTGCACGCTGAAGTAACTGTCGGCGGTGTGGAACGCATTCACATAGATCAGAGTCTTGCGCTGCGGATTGATGTCGAAATCGCGCAGCTCCGGCATCGATTTGATGGGCAGCTGAATGCTCTGATTGGTGATGGTCATCACGTGCAAGCGCGCATCGCTGGGATTGATGCCATCGTAGAGCGCCATGACGCCCTCGTCGACGGGCGCATCACCTGGACGGAAGCTATTAGCGTACTGATTGCCCAATCTCGGCCAGAATCAACTTACAGAATGCACGCCAGCCGCGATTCAGCTGCTGCGACAGCAGCTCCAGATTGTGCTTCTGTATGCGATCAATGCTGGCCGTCGGCTCCGCGTGCCGCCAGATCGCGATCAGACATAGTCCGCAGAGCCATCCTCTCCAGCTCGTTGCTTGCTGCATTGCGACGACTGCTGCAGCTCAGCGGCCAACTGGGCGGTTTTATAGCCCAGCCAAGCCAAGCCAAGCTGCTTATCGCTGCGGCCAGCTGAGGCGCTTATCTGGCCACAGAATTGCAGTTTTCGTTTACAGTTGGATCTGCCGCTGACTGCAGCACGTTCGCTCAGTCGGCTCTGTCGCTTTCTGGCTCTGTCTGGCAGTTGTCTGCAGACTCGATGCGAGTCAACTCGGCTCTGGGCTCTCGCCGCTCGACTCGAGCTGCCAGATAAGCACTTTTGCCGCTGCACGTTTCGCGGACTGTCAACGATAAGTCGGCCGATCTCTATATGTATGTATGTACACATCTATATCTATAAACAGATTCGCAGTCGATCGATTAGCGCGGTTCGTGCCACAAGAAGAAAACGCTTGTTTTTGGTAGCTGCTTACGCTGATAAGTTTCATTGAAGTACTTTTTACTCTTGATTATACAGTTATCGATATACACATATGTATGTATGTATGTATGTATGTGAAGTGAGTGCGAAAAGACAACTAGGTGCTAAATGTAAATTTTACTAGATATACATATATTCTCTTGCTATAAATGTGACAATTGTCAACAATTTATCCTAATGAGGTAGCGGCGGCTGCTTTGGCACTCCCCTCCCTAGGGGAGTTACCTTCAAATCTATCTAAAACTAGGCAATAAATAAGGAAAATCAAATGTAAATTCTCTTCTCTTGTTTAAAGTAGAACTTAGATTTTAAACATTTATTTGTAACGAACACAAAAAGCAATTAAAATAATAAATAAACTGAGTGAACGACTTAAAATAAACATTTTGGTAGTCAAAAATACTTTCTGCTTCACTAGCATCGCTCCCTCCCAAAACTAAAAAGGGGGCGTGCCTGTCACGAATTCGACTCTCTGCTGGTGGCGTGCTCTGCGTATAGTTTGTGCTTAGAACTTCAGACCGGCCTGCACATCGGCCATGATGTTGGCCGACTTCTGCAGCTGCTGCACCTCGTCTTCGGTCAGGATCTGCTTCACCACGGAGGTGACACCGTTGGCATTCAGCACGCAGGGCAGCGAGAGGAACACGTCCTTGTCAATGCCGTGCTCGCCCTAAAAGAAGAGAGAGAGATGGAGGGAGAGAGGGAGAGAGGGCGAAGGTTAGGCTAGTCTACTTCCATATTGAGGCAATCTCTGCGAGACACTTACCAAGACGGACGTGGAGACGGCAGCCACGCTGCTGGTGTTCCTCAAGATGGCCGAGGCCAGGGAGGCAGTGCTCAGGCCAATGGCCCAGGAGGTGTAGCCCTTTAGCTTGATGACCTCGTAGGCCGAATCGACCACCTGCTTGTGCAGCTCGTTCCACTTCTCTGGATCCTCACCGGTGCCAATGGTGGGGTTCAGCTCGCGCAAGCGCACGCCGGCAATGTTGACGCCGGACCACACTGGCACCGAGCTGTCGCCGTGCTCGCCAATGATCCAGCCGTGGCAGGAGGTGGGTGCGACGCCCAGGCGCTGCGACATCAGGAAACGGAAGCGGGACGAGTCCAGATTGGTGCCGCTGCCAATGACGCGATTCTTGGGCAGACCGGACAGCTTCCAGGCCACGTAGGTCATGATGTCCACGGGATTGGACACCATCAGCAAAATGGTATCGGGACTGTACTGTGGGTCACAGAGAGTCAACGATTAGCTGAGGCATTCTCTACGGCAAGTGGCTTCACTTACCTCCACCAGCTTGGGGATGATGTTCTTGAGAATGTCGGTGTTGCGCTGCACCAGGGACAGGCGGGACTCGCCCTCCTTCTGGCGCACACCGGCGGTGACGATGCACAGGCGCGAGTTGGCCGAGGCGGCGTAGTCGGTGCTGGCTGTGATCTGGGGATTCTTCAGGAAGTTGGAGCCGTGCTGCAGATCCATCAGCTCGCCCTGCAGCTTGTCGGCGCAGACGTCGATCAGGCACACCTCCTTGGAGACGTTCTGGGCCAAAATGCTGAACGCGCTGGCCATGCCCACCATGCCGATGCCCACCACAGTGACCTTGTGGCCCGAGCTGGGCAAAGTTTCCGCCACCGGGGCCAAGAGACTATCCTTAACGGAGGCCATTGCTGCAAAGAGAATCGGAGCGAATTTAGCGAATGCTCTCCCAGAGATTTATGTATGTATCCATTAGTGTTAGTCGACTAGGTATGTCACGTGCTCTGCGTAAACTTGGGACACTCACACACACAAACACAGACACAGACCTATGTGTCGGCGCTGTTTAACCTTCACGAAGGTCATATTTATATAAATCTGCCGACTGCCTAGCACGCAACCCGCCGAGTTCAGAGCATAACTAATACGCAACATAGCCGAAAGAAAGAAAAATAAAATTAAAAAAAATATAAAAAAACTATCACAAATAATTCTCAATTTGCGCGCTGCTGTCTCTTTTTATATCTAGCAGTCGCTTGTGACCGGCTGGCGCTTGTGACAAGTGATATCAGGGCTAATTAACTCCCTAATGGGTCTACGTTGGGTTTTTATCGAAAAAGCCTTCAAGCGAATTGTGTTCCACGGACTAGCGCATTGACACCGCGATTCCTCAGACTCGACGCTTGCAGCGGAATATATACAATTTGCAATCAATATTTATTTGATTTATCACTTGATAACCCATTCGCATTGTTAATGGGCATTACGAATGCTCTATTTGGACACTTCAAATGAGGAAGTCTGAACCGATCTACATGATATGCATGCATGTTCGTGTGTACATATGTATATGTGTAGTCATTATGGCGCTTAGCGCCGGCTTGAACTCGTGTTGATTTGCTGTAAATATTTAATATAGATTTCCAGATAAGATTGGACACATATCGCTGCAATTGCAACAGCTGCTTATCTCTTTATTGCGAATAGTTCGTTTACTGTTCTGTGCACGTTTTTAATTAGAAATGCCCCATAACTGTTCAGAATTCTTTTATGTGTTTTGCCCTTACCCTGAACTTGAGAGTTTTCTAATTAAATGTGCGGTTTATCATGAACAAAAAAAAAAAAGCCCGTGAGCTCAGTGAGCTCTTTATAAGCTAATGGCTATGAGTGTTTGGGGCATTACGACAAAGTCATATAAGGGCAAGTGTGATAGACTTCAAGATACCCTATTGAAGTGTGCCTAGATAAAGGCTGATACACTTGAAGATACTCTATTTGAAGTGTGGTAGAGGGTGGTTCATAGAGTTTACTTATTCGTTAACTGAGAGGTAAAGTAAAGTAAAGTAATATGTGGCTATGCTTAAGAGATGAGAATCTCTAAATGTCTGACAATATTACTCTTCATCTGAAAGCTAGATTAATAATAAAGTCTACTTATATTCTTAAAAAATGCATTTGATACTATTTTATATTACTCTACATCTGAAAAGTTTTATCAATTTAAAATATGGGCCATTTTGTTTCTTATAATAAAAAACAAAATAATAAGAGTTACACTCTTTGTGAACAAGTATCAGACAGTCAGTAAAACTCGAGTATCCGGTAATCAATGCCTGAGTATTCGGTAATCAATGTCGTAAGACTAATAGAGGAGGTCCACTCCGAGTCGATTGCCTGTCTGTTGATGCAGATCAGTAATAGGTTGTAAACACTTTCTAAATATTACCTAGGGTATTTCCCAAGTCTAAACAGCTTTGCTCACATACATACCTACACATTCTTCACACCCCCTCTAACTTTGCACTTTCCCCACAATGCTTTCCGTTATAAATTATCTAAAATCGTCGCCATATAATAGATAATTGACAACATGCAGTTATTTGCTATATATTATAGAGAGTTCACAGCAAAGTGAGATCATTTGCAAATATTTTATCTAGGTATTCTCTGTCAAGCTTGGCTGAAGCTTAGCCCAAGCTAAAATTGCCACAGAGATCAAACAGATTATATGGAAACACAAAATGTAGTAGCAAGTGTCCAAGAAGCGAATGACCTTCTTTCAAAGTCAAATGTTTTCCAAATGGGAAATAATTGAACGCACAGCTGTTTATTCGAATTAACGGCGCATGCGCCAAAAACGCAAACGAAAGCGAAAGTGAAAGCAATTGTCGTCCAATTGGAATTAGAGCAGCTACCCCAATCCCCCCCTCAGCTAGGAGGAAGTGCGCACAGTGTGCGTGTGCAAGGCCAAGGGCGAGCTTTGCAAGTTGAATGCACTTTGTCTGGGCCAATGGCTCAGCGATGTTGGCCCACAATTTATCTCAGCCCTCTTCGAGTTTAGTTTGCTTACTTTTGATTGTTGTTGCTGTTGTCTTCTGGTATACACTGGGAAAGATTCACTGGATATATATGTGTATGTGTTTGTGTTTGGGCGCCTCTGTTTGGTTTCTGTTGAGGTCGTCGACGTTCCGTTCACTTTGCGCGCTCGTTGCGAACTGTTTGTGCTTGATGCGAGACTCGTTGGACTGGCGCTGCCGCTGCTGGATTTTGTAGCTGCTTCGCTCTCTGCTGCTGCTGCCGTCGCTGCTGCGGCAGCTGGCGTCAGGATGAGTGACGAAATGGCCTAAACAACATTGTGAAACTGCGAGCGAGCGCAAGCCGGCTCAGCCAGCGGTCTCTCTGTCTCTTCTCGCTCCCTCTCTTTCGCTCTCTCCGCACGCACTCTCCAAATACAGTTTTTCGACTTCATTCCCAACTAACTGGGCCTCTGTCAAGGTGACCTTTTGGTTTGCTTTGCTGTTGTTGCTGGCCGATTTGGGCGTTTCATTTGTGTTTTGTATTTTATTTTTAGCCGCGCCTCGTGTTTATTTGGTTAAATTATTCCAGGAGTTGCGGGGGAGTTCGCCACGTGTGCCATCATTTACAATTCGATGCCTTGAGCATGTCTCGAAGTAGAGGCACATGCATCTAACGGTGGTTGCGTCTCTGCCGCGTGACAGCAGCAGCGGCAGCAGAGGCGGCGGTGGCAGCTGTCTGCGTGGATCACTGGGTTTGTGTGTGTATGTGTGTGTGTGTATGGAAACCCCCTCTGTGTGTGTGTGCGTGTGTGTGTGGCTCACGTGCCATCGATCATGCTTGCATCCAGCCAAACGGAAGCAGGCAGAGAGCTGGAATACCACTCTCTCTCTCTCTCTCTCTCCCTCTCTCACTCCCTCCCTCTCTCTCTCTTTCTTCCTCTCTCTGTGCAAGAGTCTCCTTTGTTTAAATTGGCCAACTGCCAGGGTGCAAACCAGATGTTTCATTCCACTGCATATGCAGAGTTTTCGATTGCACCAATTTTTCATAGCATGGAATGTTCTATATCTAAGGTACATACATACATATATCTATTCTTATTATGTCCTTGTCTCATCCTATAATTCATTCAGGTCACCAAAGGGAGTTGTTAAGTTATATTACCATATTTTTAATGATTTAGTTAATCAATTTTTTGTTATATTATTATTATTTTTTTTTAATTAAGAATAAATACTATTATTAATTTCTATTTTTATTAATATATTTTATTTTATTTTAATTGATTGTCTATTTTTATTTTCTTTGCAATATCTATTTATATCAAAATAAATCTGCAAAATTTAGTTGATTCAACAATTTTTCTCTCTGTAGCGAATTGAATAATTGAATTAACATAAATAAGTTAATGCTCAGACAGCTGTGACGTCATAGGCTTACGCTCGACTGAGAGATAGAAAGGGAGAGAGAGAGCGACAGAGAGAGGGAGAGAGGGAGAGAATGAGCGTGACATTGAGAGCGCCGCATTGGCAACCGACGGCGGCGTTCGTGACTAGCTACACATGTTTCGTGTCTGCAGTTGATTCATAATTCGCCTGAATCGCGCTCCTGCTGCCCCTCCCTCTCTCAGTCCCACACACTCCTGCACAATTGCAGTTGAACTCTGGCGACGACGTCATAGACGTAGCTGCGCGAGGTAGGGGGAATCTCGGCTGACACATCCGCCGGTAGTGCAATTGACGCTCGGCTTGTGAAAGTGTTTTTGACCCACATTTGCCCCACACACTCTCATTCGTGTTGGACCAATGACGCCGCCAATGGGGGAGATTGTGAAATGTGTTTAAAAGCTTGGAGTGAGTACCTGTTGTGTGCACTCTTCAAAACGTGTTTCATGAGGGTTATTGAACTGTGTCTCGCTTGTTTGGGGCATTTCACATGAATATTGTCTTATTGCATTGGCATTTGTTTCCTCTTTCTCGATCATGAAATGCTCTTAACGTACATTTCCAAGTTATATGAGATTGTTTAGTCTAACTTTGAGAAATGTTTGGGTTTTTTTTAACTCAATTATCATTCAATTGTGTGCTATGATATACAGTGGCTTACAGCTTTATTCAACCAGTGCTAGAGTGAAAATTTTGGGAAGCTAAGAAATCTAAACCAAGAGAGATATTGAATAAATTTAAACGCAATTTGTTTATCTTATGCTTCAGCTTATGAACTAAAATGAGTTCATATAAATAGTTATTATTATTCAAAAACAAATATAAACAATTTGCAGTTTAGTTCAAGTGTACTGTATATTTATGAAAATATGTGTTTATCATCTTATGACTTTTTAATCATTTTGCACTTTGCATTGGTTGCTGCATTGACTAAAATGTCGAGTAGCGCCATCTGGCGTCTTAGCAGTGAACTTGTGTGAACGTTTGCCTTTGCTTGTTTTGTTGTTTATACTACTGACCGCTTGGTGGCGTTTGTTCGTTAGGGAGGGTAAAATGATTGTGTTTTATAAGAATATCATTTTATTATTTGGCTGACATGATATTTTGTTGATAAACAAATACAGTTGGTTAATGGAATTTATGTCAACTGTTTGTTCGGTCACAGCAAGGCCTGTAGCTCGCTACAAAGGTGTGTTAAGGTGCCTCGCAAGCAGTGCACTGCTTTAACAGGAGCCAAGTGGTGCTTAGCTGTTGTTTGTATTGTTAGTCACAATTTGTTCGTTTCTCCTCTCTTACCAATGAATTGTAATTCATAAATATTAAACTGAACTGGTACACTCTAATTAACTAAAATAAATCCTTATACTCATATATTCCTCTGCCATATATAAGTAGCACCAAATTTTGGTCCCCTTTAACAGCTGCTTTAAACGAAAGTTGATAAATGCATTTATTCAATTTGAAAGGAATTTAACGATTAGTATAGGAATTTTTCATCTTTTACAGCTCTTGGAGATGCATTCCACCTGTTTGCGATAGGGCACACCAGAAGCCAGGTTACGCAAGTGAGGCTGTGCGTTTTCTAGATTACAGCTACAAAAACATGACACAAACATTTCTCATGCTGTGCAACGCCAGCAGCAGCAGCAGCAGCAGCAACAACAACAGCAACAGCAACAGCAGCAGCAGAGTGCAATAATAATCCTTAATCTGTATTTCGCCCATTGGCAATGCGTGCCAAAACAGAAAAAGTGAAAGATGCTGAAGCCAGTGCAGTTTATGCGATAGCGCCAAGCATCGAGAAGCGAGAAGTGTTCTTATCAAGGCCAGAGCATCTGATTGCCGCTCGCTGTTGTTGCTGTTGTTGTTGCTGTTGCAGATGCAGCTGAAACGAGTAAGTCAAGTGGCACAAATGGAGTGCTTCGAGTTGTTGCTGCCACTGGGGCTTCTTCTTCTTCTTCATTTTGTTTACTGCTGCTTGGCTGGCACGCAATGCGCCTCCCAGCCTAGGCTGAGATGATGTCGCAGCAGCAGCAACTGTTGCCGCTGTAGCAGCAGCAGCAGCAGCCAATCGCCAACTGCACATTAATATTCAAAAATTGCGTTTTTATGCTAATTTTCACACACACACAGTCTTCCTCGCCCTCTGTGTCTTCCTCTCTCTCTCTGTCTCTCTCTGTCTCTTGCACTCTGTGTGTTGGGCAAGCTGTCGATAGATTACTCAATGACAAGCGAACGTTCCACATGCCCAGCCCGACCCTGCGCTCCCAGTGCTGCCTGCGCATGTTGCCTTTGCAATTGTTGTTGCTGCTGCTGCCGTTGTTGTTGTTATTTTAGCTGATGTTCATCTTTGTGTATATCGCGCATTGCAATCTTTTTTGGCAGGCCAGCCTGGCTTATTATTATTATTTCAGCTGGGCTCTAGCCACGACTTTGCTACAAAATATTACTCATACGCACCGTTGTTTATTTATGTCTATGTGTTGCTTGTCCTGCTGCTGCTGCTGGTGCTGCCGTTGTTGTTGTTGTTGTTCTTGACGTAGTTTAGCAATAATTAAGTTGTTAAATTGTTGCACGTAAGTCAAGTTGCCTCCCCTCATCTCTGCCCACCAATCCACCTGCCTCGCCGTCGCCGTCTGCGCTTGGTGGCTCCGCTTAATAATAATGTTCAGCTTGACTTACGATGCACGTCCTTGGGTTACTGATATATGTGATACTTAAGGTATTTATTACAAGCGATTGTAATCTCATGCCAGCATTTCTTTATACATATACATAGTATATGTATATGTATATATATAACAACAACAACAAGCGACAGCAGCAGCCGCCGCAGCAAACAAAAATATTTATAGACAAGACGCCCCTGTTTTTTGCTGTTGTTGTTGCTGTTGCTGCCATCGGTTGGCTTGGTTTTTTGGCCTGCCAGCAAATTAAGCGAAACTAAAATACAAAAGAGGAAAAAAAAAATAAGTTTGTGCTCCATTTGACACTAGCCTGACTAGCAAACACCCTAAGCTCCAAGCAACGGCAACTTCTTCTGTTATGAGGGTTGATCCTTTGGTATAGTTCTATTAAAAAATATTTTAGAACATATAGTAAATAATCTAATATAGTAAATAGGGAAAAATATATTAAATAATATAATAATAATAAATAATATAATAATAATTTAGGAAAAGTTTATGACTGATTGGAAATATTTTTTTAATTCATGCTTTTTTTTTAATTTTATTATTTTGGGAAATTCAAAAATAGCCAAAAAAGAAAATACAACTAGCTCTAAACATTATATATATTTATTTTAATACTTAAATTTAATATTGTTAAAACAAAACTAAAATATAAAATAAAACTAAGATAATATAATAGCAGTAAATAGTCACAGATATTTTATTTTTAATTTTAATTTAAAATATGTATTAAATATGTTAATTTCAAGTCTTCTTCTTCGCTGTGCACATAGTGCTGCATTTAAGTACATGCTATATTTAATTAAATTCCTCAAAAATAACACAATTTTCTTAATAAGTGCTCGTTAAGCGAGCTCTTCAGTTCGTTTTGTGGCATATGAGTGCATGCGCCGACTGCCTGCATGCGGCTCATTAATGCAACAGCAGCAGTGCCTGGTGGCAATACAACAAATTATATAATACATAGGCACACTCTTTATATACATACATACGTATTATATACAAGTATATACGTACATATGTCTATATTAAACTGTGTCTTGGGATGCAACTGCAGCTTGGATCAGACCAGTTTCTCA